TATAGGCGCTGGCATGACACAGAGTTGTAGCCGGAGCCACCGTCGGCGCAACACTGCTCGTCGTGCTGCTCTTCACCACGGCAACTATCATCGTACGACGACGTCGGATCAAGAAGAGGAGGGAGGCCGAGGATGAGGAGAATGCGAGCACGGATAGTGACAATGGCGAGCCCATCACGGAGATCGAGGTGGGGACGGGGCCAAGGCGATTGCCATACTATGAGCTCGTCGAGGCGACCAAGAACTTCGCGGCGGAGGAGAAGCTTGGGCAAGGCGGCTTCGGCTCGGTGTACCGAGGCTACCTAAGAGAGCAGGGCCTCGTCGTCGCCATTAAACGCTTCGCCAAAGATTCCTCCAAGCAAGGGAAGGAGTACAAGTCAGAGATCAAGGTGATAAGCCGGTTGCGCCACCGCAATCTCGTGCAGCTCGTCGGCTGGTGCCATGGACGCAACGAGCTCCTCCTTGTCTATGAGCTCGTCCCCAACCGCAGTCTTGACGTCCATCTCCATGGCAATGGCACCTTCCTTACTTGGCCAATGAGGTTATTAATTCTCGGCGTTAACTTTCTCATCTCAACTGTTTCGATAGTGTCAAATCTAATTCTATTTTTATCTTGCTTAATTGGTTGTTTCCACAGGATCAAGATTGTTCTCGGGCTTGGATCAGCACTACTCTACCTCCACCAAGAGTGGGAACAATGTGTCGTGCACCGTGACATCAAGCCAAGCAACGTCATGTTGGATGAATCCTTCAATGCCAAGCTAGATGACTTCGGGCTCGCGAGGCTCATCGACCACACCATCGGTATAAAGACGATGACCGCCATGTCAGGAACGCTGGGCTACCTTGACCCTGAATGTGTGATCACCGGTAGAGCGAGTGCCGAGTCCGACGTTTACAGTTTTGGCATTGTCCTACTGGAGGTGGCATGCGGGAGGAGACTGATGAGCCTACTAGATAGCCATAATAATGGCGTCTTCCGACTGGTTGAGTGGGCCTAGGTTTTGTATGGCAAGGGAGATGTTCTCATGGCCGCCGACGAGCGTCTCAATGGCGACTACGATTCTGCGGAGATGGAGCGTGTCATCACTCTTGGGCTCTGGTGCGCGCACCCTGATCCAAGCGTGCGACCGTCTATCAGAGATGCCATGACCATACTCCAATCGAGTGGAGGCCAGCTGCCGGTGCTACCGGCCAAGATGCCCGTGCCAACGTACGCGCCGCCGATGGCCTCGTTTCATGGGCTCTTTGCGTCATCTACAGGGATGTCGTCGTCATCAGGTGTGACGCAGTCGTCGTCCATATCGACGACGAGTGGCCATGCTACTCACACCTCGTGGTCCTCGGTTCCCTCCGATTCAACCAGTTCGAAGGACTCGTCTTCATTGCTCAAGCATCAGTGCTAGTGTTTAGTGTTTGTTTTTTAATTTGCTTGTTCTTAGTTTAGAGTTGATTTGGTCTTTGGTGTTGCCTAATTGCCGATTTGAGTAATGTATGTGTACTTATGCCATGAATCTTATGGCACTGTAGTTTCTCTAGAAAGATCTGTCCGGCCATTTTCTGTTCCAGCATTAGAATAAGTCGAGTGAGGGAGATGGGCAACGATAGGTGCTACGTACTGCAGCAGCACTACAATTGAAGCGAATTAAACGATCGGCCCATTACAATTGAAGGGGTGGCCGCCATCCTCCTCATGGGCCATTGCCTACAGAACGAATTGGGTTGGGGGACAGCCGCTAGGAAAAGCCTGATCTACGTGCCTATCCCCAATGGATTAAATCAACTTTACATCCCTTATGTTTCCACCGAGTTTAAATCGCATCTCTGAACCGCAATACAAGGAGTCTAGACCACCAACTTGTAAAACTAACTTAAATTAGGTTCTTCAGCGATATAGATAGCTGATTTCGCTGACAAATATAAAAAATGCATACCTAACTCTAAGGTTATAAATAGACCCCTCCAAGAGAACATATATTGTAAGTGAGTTTTTAAGGATCAATAAATATATTTACTTCTTTGTGTACACTTAGAAACCACTGTTTGTCCTCTTAGACAACACCATGAAAACTCAGAAAATGTACAATATTGTATTTTTATCAATCCTAAATTCAGAAAATCCTTTATCAAGAAAAATACTAAAAAAGTAAGACATCATAACAAGTACAACTCAGTATTATTAATTTAAAGCTTCATATTATTTAATAAAAAAATTATTTTCAGTAATTTCGAAGTGTGTATTAAGGCCTTGTTTAGTTCCAAAAACTTTTTCCCAAAAACATCACATCGAATCTTTGGACACATGCATAAAATATTAAATATAAATAAAGTAAAAAACTAATTGCACAGTTAGGGGGGAAATCGCGAGACGAATCTTTTGAGCCTAATTAGTTCATGATTAGCCATAAGTGCTACAGTAACCTACATGTGCTAATGACGGATTAATTAGGCTCAAAAGATTCGTCTCGTGGTTTCCAGACGAGTTATGAAATTAGTTTTTTCATTCGTGTCCGAAAGCCCCTTCCGGCATTCGGTCAAACATCCGATGTGACACTCAAAAATTTTCTTTTTGCGAACTAAACATGCCCTAACTTAAGGAAGTAGCAGAAAATAAGGGATTAAAAGTATTAGATTTTATTCTATATACCTATGATATTGTAATTACCAATTTCAAAAATTCAAAACTATCGGTTTCATTCTTAAGCACTTAAAAACAAAATACTACTCCCTCCATTCTCTAATATAAGGAATTTTGGCATTTCGCTTGCACTGTTTGACCATTCATCTTATTCAAAAAAATTTAGAATTATTATTTATTTTATTTGTGATTTACTTTATTATTCAAAGTACTTTAAGCATAACTTTTCGTTTTTTATATTTACACAAATTTTTTTAATAAGACGAGTGATCAAACAGTGCAAGAAAAATGTTAAAATCCCTTATATCAGAGGATAGGGGGAGTAACACTTATGCAGAACATACATATAATACTGTTGCAAATACTCCCTCCATCCCTAAATGTTTGACGTTGTTGACTTTTTTAAACATGTTTAACCGTTCATTTTATTCAAAAAAATTTAAGTAATTATTAATTCTTTTTCTATCATTTGATTCATTGTTAAATATATTTTTATGTATACATATAGTTTTACATATTTCACAAAAGCTTTTGAATAAGATGAATGGTCAAACATGTTAAAAAAAATTAAACGGCGTCAAATATTTAGAAAAGGAGAGAGTATATGAGTTACTAGTACTAACCAGTGGGTTTAGTTAATACATATAATACTGTCGCAAAGTTGTCCGCACCTCTTTCGATAACACTGACATCCAGAAAGTAAGGCAAGTGGGGTAAGCGTAAGCCAAAACAAGTCACGTCGAAGATGAAGAACCAAAGAAGCACGGCGGTACCTTCTTCTGTTCATGCACATGCATTTATGCATTTCCAACTCGAATGTGTGCCACTGCCCGACTGCCAGTGGCACTAGTATCAAATCAACATATTGGCTCGTCCCTCGAATTCGAGACAATCATTGTACTCCAACCGATAGAAAACAACTTTAAACACTATTTTATATTATAATATATATAAAAACAATATAACAAATAAATGATATTATTAAAGTATATTTTAAAACAACTCTATACATATAGTCCCCATATTTTTAAGATAAATATTTTAAAAATTATTATAGTTGAAGATTTTAAAGTTTGATCTTATTCCTGTAAAAAACGACAAGTATTATTAGTCCGGTGAGTAGTATAATTACTTTTAGAGTTTAAATTTATCTTAAAAAATATAGTTATTTCTTCTTTATCTTCTCATCTCAACGAATAATAACAGTCTCTCATTGAATTTGTGCACCTACTTTCTATTTTTAACAAATCATAAACTTCCAAAAATTGTACACCTATTTTCTATTTTTAACCAAAAAAAAACTTCCAATAATTTATTTAAAAGTATTTAAGAATACTTATATTTTAGTACCGAGGGAGTACTCTGGTACTCATACTACCTGCCTGAAAATAATAATAAAAAAAAACTGATACCACCACTACCAACATAGCCCCCGGTTTTGACCCTCAAATTGAAAAACGTGGAAAGCAAGGAGAATTTGGTATCATTAAATTAAGGAACAACGTAATTTACTAATATCTCCAAACCTGGTATCGATAAATTAAAGGAGGAACATTATTTTTCCATGTATTTAACCCATATGTTGAATAGATGGCACAATCAAATCAAATGTATCCGGTCAGTAATCCGATCTAACACATGATCAATTAGGATTACTATCCGAGTTAAGATCTAACACGAAATAACTAAAGATCATTTCCTATTTTGTGAGAAATTCCCAACACAATCTTATTCATACTAGCAACATATACTACCCGTATATTGTACCCTAAAAGTCCCTTTTTTTATACATTGTTTAGTTAGTCCTCTTAGGCTGTTCTTTTTCCAACTTTCTCAACTTCTACTCTCTCGTTTTTTATGCTCACGCTTTCTAAACTGCTAAATGGTGTGCGTTTTGTAAAAGTTTTCTATAGAAAAGTTGCATTAAAAAATTATATTAATTCATTTTTCAAGTTTTTAAGACTAATATTTAATTAATCACGTGTTAATGGAATACAACCCCATTTTCCGTGGAACTCCACCTCCCGAACCTAGCCCTAGTCAACTATGCAAAATACCATCAAGATTTTAGATCTTCTTTCTTTGGATATTTGATCAAGTAAGAGGAGCAGCTAAATTTTATACTTACTCCGTTTCACAATGTAAGTCATTCTAGCATTTTCCACATTCATATTTATACTAATGAATCTAAATAGATAATTAGATATATATGTCTAGATTCATTAGCATCAATATGAATGTGGGAAATGCTAGAATGACTTACATTATGAAACAGAGGGAGTACATTTTTTTATAAAATTTGGTGAAAAAAGACGAAAAAATTGCAAACAATCCGCAGGCCTAGGCCAATGACGTCCAAAGCTTCACCTTTTATATATATATATATATATAAACCAGCTTGATGTATATATATAAAAAGGATTTTATCATTCTTGAAAATGTATTTGAAGAAAAAGGGAAGATACCAACAAGAAACGGAACTTACGCTTAACTTCGTCATCTATTAGCAAAATAGACAAAATATGATACATTTCAGCACCTTCCGAGGAGCCAGAGCTGTCAGGGTCATGGTCTCATGGAGCCTAGTGTTGATTTGCCAACCACCAACTTGTTAAATTAGCAGAGTCCTTAAGATCTCGACTGGTCTCTCTGAGTGGCGACTGGCGACTGGCCACCTGCTGATTTGAGTACTACTAGTAGTTTTCCGTTTTTGGCATTGGCAGTATTGTCCGGCCGCTGATTCCGCTCAAAGACCGGCCATGGCCGCCGGCGTCCTCATGACAAAACCGTTCATGGCTGCTCTAGCCTGCTTGCTCGTCATGCCTAGCGTCGTCGCTACCACTACTGTATCTTTCAACTACTCCAGCTTCAGCAACGCGAGCAAGAACATCACCCTCCAGGGCAGCGCGGCGCTCGCCGGCGCCGCCGCCGAATGGATCGAGCTCACCAAAGGCAAAGGGAACAACCTGTCGAGCGGCGGCACCATGGGCCGGATGGTGTACACGCCGCCGGTGCAGCTCTGGGACGCCGCCACCGGCGAGGTTGCCAGCTTCACCACGCGCTTCTCCTTCAACATCACCCCGAAAAACAAGAGCAACAAGGGCGACGGGATGACCTTGTTGGCGAAGAACACCAATCGAACACCTTGTGGGCGTCCTGTAGCTATCCGGCACAGCAGACTGAAGAAACTTTCAGGGAGACAGAGAATTCAGAGAATGCAGAGAACAAGAACAAAATAACTTGGGAGAGTATTTGGGCAACTTTCGGTGTTTATTTCGAACTGAAATGAAAACTGAATGCGCGCGTACAAATTCTGTTACCACCAACTATTTATAGGCTAACAACTTTGATCCTACAAATGTGGAAACGACGAGGTTACTCCCCGTCATGCACTCTGCTTCATCGCGCTTCCTGCGCTGCAAGAACTAGTCGCCACCGATCTCCTTTGCCCGGGCATCTCGCCACACCGTTACACACCGTTGCATTCCCGCGTCGTCCGGATCAGCTCGGGCCACACCAGGAATAACTGCAACATACTCCCCCTTAGTCTTGGCGTGGCCTGAGATCACGCACACCCAACAGGTGCCGTGCAGTCGCCAGCTTCGCCGCCGGCAGTCCCTTTGTCATTGCATCTGCTCGCTGCTCCTCAGAACGAACGAACTCAATCAGAATCTGCCCACTCTCAACACATTCACGAATGAAATGGTAGCGGGTATCAATATGCTTGCTCCTCCCGTGGAACACAGGATTCTTCATCAAGGCGATCGCCGACTTGTTGTCAACAAAAAGTTTCACCCGCTTTGCTTCAGTACCCATCATCTCGCTCAGCAACGCCCTAAGCCAGAGCGCGTGACATGCTGCTGCAGTGGCCGCCATGAACTCTGCCTCGCAAGACGAGAGCGCCACTGTCTTCTGCTTTTGAGAACACCAAGACACCAAGCTGCTGTTCACATAGAACGCCATGCCGCCGGTGCTCCGACGGTCATCCATGTCACCTGCCAAGTCACTGTCAGTGAAACCCGTGATGTCCAACGAGCCACTGCCGCTTGCAAACACCAGACCAGAGTCCAGCGTCCCCTTTAGATATCTGAGTATCATCTTGACCGCCTTGAGATGCATCGTTGTCGGCCGCTCCATGAACCTGCTCGCCACGCCAACGGCGTAGGACAGATCCGGCCTGGTGTGTAACAAGTATCGCAGGCACCCGATGACACGCCGGTACTCGGTCGCATCAATTGGATTTCCATCAGCATCCTTGTGCAGCAGCGACCGTGGCTCCATGGGGATTGAGGTGGGATTACATCCCTGCATACCAAACTGAGACAGAATCTTCTTCGCATACGCAGCTTGCTTGATAGCAATCCCATTCTCCCCCTGAATTACTTCTATCCCCAGATAGTAAGAGAGAAGACCGAGATCACTCATCTCAAATTCCCCCATCATCTGCTGCTTGAACATGGCTATCTCATGTGGATTTTCTCCTGTGACAATCAAGTCATCAACATACACACCAACGATTACACCAGCTTGCCCCTTTCCTCTAGTATACACGGCCTGCTCCTGCGTGCACCGTGCAAAACCGAGTTCTTTCAAGCACTTGTCGAGACGCGTGTTCCACGCCCGCGGGGCCTGGCGCAATCCATAGAGCGCCTTGCTCAGCCTGAGCACCAAGTGTTCTTCTCCTCGTTTCACAAAACCCTCTGGCTGGGCTACGTACACTTCTTCTTCAAGATCGCCATTCAAGAACGCCGATTTGACGTCGAGGTGGTGCACTTCCCACCGCCGATCAGCTGCGATAGCCAGGATGACACGAACTGTGTCAAGCCGCGCCACTGGCGCGAACACCTCTTCAAAATCCACCCCTTGACGCTGAACATAGCCCTTTGCAACCAAACGAGCCTTGTGCTTGATTACTTCGCCGGCAGTGTTCTTTTTCAGCTTGTACACCCACTTGAGGCCAATGGGTTTGTGTCCTGCCGGCAATGCAGTGAGAGCCCATGTTGAATTCTTCTCAATCGCCTGCAGCTCCTGTGCCATGGCGTTCTCCCATGCCGGCTGGCCAGCTGCCTCGCGGTAGCTCGATGGCTCCTCCATCTCTGCAAGCAGCGCGTCCCCATCGTGTTCATCCTCCACCAGGTCCACGCGGGGTGCCTCCCGCATGATATCTTCAAGACTCCTGAACCGGACGGGACCCTCATCGCTTCTAAGGTCGCCGCCGGAACCTGGTGACGCCACCGGCCCGGCAGAGCCGGTAGCAGGTGTTGAAGGCGGTGTAGAGCTCGGTGATGACTGGGGCGAAGTCGGCAATGACGATGACGCCCCTACCGGGCTTGCCGGAGGCGATTGCGGGACTGCCGGGGATGGCGCCCGGTACCGCGGTACTGGGTAGGCCGGCGCTCCTGCCGGCGGTGCATCAACTCCATCCTCCTCCACCGTGAACTCGGTAGAGTTTTGCTCCCCTGCGACTACACTCCATTGCCAAGGTACATTTTCTTCAAAAATGACATCACGACTTACATGGATACGCCCACAACGCGGGTCGAACAGGCGGTGCGCCTTGCTGCCTTCTTCCACGCCGAGATACACATACGGCGCGCTCCGGTCATCAAGTTTCTTCTGGTTGGGCGTCGTGATCTTGGCGTGTGCTATGCACCCAAACACCCGCAGGTGTCCCAGCTGCGGCTTGCGCCCCGTCCATGCCTCGAACGGGGTCCGATCGCCCATCGCCTTCGTCGGTAGCCGGTTGAGGAGATACACCGCATGGCGCACCGCCTCCCCCCAAAACCTGCCCGGCACTGACATCCCTTTCATCAGAGATCGTGCCATCGCCATTACCGAACGATTTCGGCGTTCCACCACCCCGTTTTGCTGGGGTGAGTATGGCGCCGTCAGATGCCGCTGGATGCCCGCCTGCTCGCACAACTGCGCGAATTCGCCCGACAGGAATTCGCCACCGCGATCCGATCTCAGCGTCTTGATGCGCCGCCCGGCCGTGTTCTCGGCCAGCGGCTTGAACTTGGTGAAAGCCTCTAGTGCCTGGTCCTTCGTTTTGATCACGAACATCCACATCCACCGTGAGAAATCATCAACAATTAGCATAAAGTAACGATTACCGGCCATAGTTGTCGGGGTGATCGGTCCACATAAATCAATGTGGAGCAACTCGAGCGGCTCCTCCGCCCTGAAGTTCGCCGTTGCGGGAAACGGCTGCCTTATCTGCTTTGCAACCAGACATGCCTGACAGAGCTGGTTTGGATGTGTGATCGCCGGGATGCCACCAGCCATGCCCTTGTCAGCCAACAGCTTCATCGCCTGGAAATTGACATGCCCAAGCCGTGCATGCCAGAGCCATGCTGGCTCATCCATCCTTGTCAGCAGGCACACCGGAGTGGCTAGCTTCAGCTCGATCCGGTACAGCCGATTAGGGGTGCGCCTCACCCGCATAACCAGCCGCAGGGGACTTTTGTCGAACACCTCGAGCACATCTTCATCCATCACCACTCTGTGCCCCGTTTCTGTGAGCTGGCCCAAGCTCACCATGTTGCAACACAGACTAGGGATATAAAAAACATCCTGCAGCAGCCATTGATCCCCATTCTTGCAGGAGAACAGGATAGACCCTTTCCCCTGAATTTTCACAGTTGAGGCGTCCCCGAACTTGACGCTCCCGGTGATTGATACGTCTAGATCTCTGAACTTAGCACGATCACCCGTCATGTGGTTGCTTGCCCCATTGTCCAGGAACCAGATGTCCCCGGTGGCTGCTCCGCTGTCAGCCAACAGCAGCTGCGGCCACACACGCTCCTCGTGTACGACCAGCCCGCTCGCCGGCTCGTCTTCGGTCACCGCCAGTAACAATGCAGGGTTTGCGTCGTCGGTTTGCGCGAGATGGGCCTCCACCTTCTTCTTCTTGGGATGAGGGCACTGGGTGGAGTAGTGGCCGAATTCTTCGCAGTTGTAGCACTTGATGTGGCTCTTGTCACGGCCACCGCCGCCAGAGCCACCAGCGCCACTGTTCCGCGGCGCGCTGCCGCGTCCACCACCTCCACCGTGCCCTCTGCCGCGACCGCGTCCGCCCTGGGCACGGTTTCCCCTGTCGCTGGGAGGTTTGTTTTTCTGCGGCGAAGACGACTCGCTGCCGTCCTTCCTGAAACGCGCCTCCCACTCCGCCTGAGTGAGAAGTACTTGACCGTCGGCGGTGACACCACCAGCGGCCGCCTTCTTCTTGCGAACTCGTTCTTCGTAGGCCTTGAGACGACCCACCGCCTCCTCAAATGGCATATTATCAATCTCATAAAACTGCTCAATACCTGCGACGAGGCTGATGAATTTCTCTGGCACCGTGTCGAACAGCTTCTTCACTATCGCGGAATCACTCAGTGTCGAGCCCAACACCGAGTGACGCACGCTCATCGCGGTGATGCGGCCCGCGTACTGATCCAGAGTTTCCCCCGGCTCCATCACCATGGCACCAAATTCACCCTTCAACGTCTGCAGGCGCGCTTCGCGAACGCGGTCCGCGCCCACGAACCTTGTCTTCAAGCAATCCCACACTTCCTTTGCCGATCTCTTCTTTGCCACCTGCATCAGCAAGTCCTCCGGGAGGGACTGCAGCAGATGGGACTTCGACTTCTTGTCCCTTCTTGGGTCGACGGCCACCCCGGCCGCCGGCTCGATGGCGTCCCACACGCCCTGGTCCTCCATCATTGCCTGAACGCGAATGCACCAGCTGGTGTAATTCGTCGCCGTGAGTTGTGGGTAGGAGAACGCACTCCCTGAGCTCCCCCTCGCCGGATCCGCTGCGGCTCCCGCCGGAACCAACGCCATGGTGTCAGATCAGCCCTCAACCTGAGTGCTCTGATACCACTTGTTGGCGAAGAACACCAATCGAACACCTTGTGGGCGTCCTGTAGCTATCCGGCACAGCAGACTGAAGAAACTTTCAGGGAGACAGAGAATTCAGAGAATGCAGAGAACAAGAACAAAATAACTTGGGAGAGTATTTGGGCAACTTTCGGTGTTTATTTCGAACTGAAATGAAAACTGAATGCGCGCGTACAAATTCTGTTACCACCAACTATTTATAGGCTAACAACTTTGATCCTACAAATGTGGAAACGACGAGGTTACTCCCCGTCATGCACTCTGCTTCATCGCGCTTCCTGCGCTGCACGAACTAGTCGCCACCGATCTCCTTTGCCCGGGCATCTCGCCACACCGTTACACACCGTTGCATTCCCGCGTCGTCCGGATCAGCTCGGGCCACACCAGGAATAACTGCAACAGACCTTCTTCCTCGTCAGCTACCCGTCGAGGATGCCGTACATGGGCTACGGCGGCGCCCTCGGCCTCACTAGCCAGACCTTCGACAACGCCACCGCCGGCGACCGGTTCGTCGCCGTCGAGTTCGACACCTACAACAACTCCTTCCTAGACCCCGACGCCACCTACGACCACATCGGCATCGACGTCAACGCCCTCCGGTCAGTGAAGACCGAATCCCTGCCTAGCTTCATCCTCATCGGCAACATGACCGCCATCGTCGACTACAACAGCAATTCGAGCATCATGTCGGTGAAGCTATGGGCAAATGGCTCAACGACGCCTTACAACCTCAGCTCCAAGATTGATCTCAAGAGCGCCTTGCCGGAGAAGGTCGCCGTTGGCTTCTCGGCGGCGACGGGTTCATCCTTTGAGCAGCATCAGCTGCGTTCTTGGTACTTCAACTTGACGTTGGAGCAGAAGCAGCCGACAGGACAACATTCGCGTGGCGGAGTTGTAGCGGGAGCCACCGTCGGTGCAATTCTGTTCATCGTGCTCCTCTTCACCATGGTAGCAATCCTCGTACGACGACGTCAGAGAAAGAAGATGAGGGAGGAAGAGGAGGACGACTCGGAAGGCGATCCCATCGTGGAGATCGAGATGGGGACGGGGCCGAGGCGGTTCCCATACCACATACTTGTCAACGCGACAAAGAGCTTTGCGGCGGAGGAGAAGCTTGGGCAAGGCGGTTTTGGCGCGGTGTACCGTGGCAATCTGAGAGAGCTCGGCATAGACGTTGCCATAAAAAGGTTCGCCAAAGACTCCTCCAAGCAAGGGAGGAAGGAGTACAAGTCGGAGATCAAGGTGATAAGTCGGCTGCGCCACCGCAATCTCGTGCAGCTCATCGGTTGGTGCCACGGTCGCAATGAGCTCCTCCTCGTGTACGAGCTCGTTCCCAACCGCAGCCTTGATGTCCATCTCCATGGCAATGGTACCTTCCTCACATGGCCAATGAGGTAATTAATTAACTCTCATTAATATTTCAGATTTTATTTTTTTTATTTCTTGCAATGTGCAATCAACAAATGTCAATTGAAATTCAACTGATCAACTACCTTGGATATTGTCATAGGATCAACATTGTTCTTGGGCTTGGGAATGCACTGCTCTACCTCCATGAGGAGTGGGAGCAATGCGTTGTGCACCGTGACATCAAGCCAAGCAACGTCATGTTGGATGAATCCTTCAATACAAAGCTAGGTGACTTTGGCCTCGCAAGGCTCATTGACCATGCTATTGGAGCACAAACGATGACCCACCCCTCAGGTACACCGGGCTATGTCGACCCTGAATGTGTGATCACAGGCAAAGCAAGTGCTGAATCTGATGTGTACAGTTTTGGCATTGTTCTTCTGGAAGTGGCATGTGGAAGGAGACCAATGAACCTACTGGATGACCAGAATAATGGCCTCTTCCGACTAGTCGAATGGGTATGGGACCTTTACGGCCAGGGAGCCGTTCTCAAAGCGGCCGACGAGCGCCTCAACGGTGACTACGACGCGACAGACATGGAGTGTGTCTTGGTTGTTGGGCTCTGGTGTGCTCACCCAGACCGATGCGCTCGTCCATCTATTAGAGTTGCCATGGCAGTTCTCCAATCCAATGGACCACTACCGATGCTACCAACCAAGATGCCCGTGCCAACATATGGGCCGCCGGTGGCCTCATCAGAGGGCCAGCACTCGTCGTCGACAGGAATATCATCCTCAAGTTTGACACAAACATCAATCACACCTCGTTAGGGATGTACGCTTGCCCACTCATGGTACACATTGATCCACATCATTTAATTATAAGTGCACTTTTTTTCTACTTCGTGTTCTTATTTCAGATTAGATAGAAAATTGTGGATACCTAGCTATGGGCAGGGATCCTTTCTCAGGAGGGCCTGAGATCTTGCTATCGTGGTGAAATCTAGTTTAGGGCTTGTTCGGATTATAGCATAGGAAAAACGTAAGATAGGAGAAAAAGATTTTGCTCCAGTCCAACAAAAAGTACCTCGAGATACCGGTACCTCATGCTAGCCTGCTGCTCCACGCTGGATGTTGGCCTGCTGCTCTCGATCCCCGTCATCATCGACCTCCGCACGTGGCATCCACTCCAGTCTCCATGCTAGAAGCCGGCCTCGATCTGTCGCTGTCAACCTCCGCGCACGGCATCCACTACACACCAGAAGCCAGCCTCGATCCGTCGCCGGCAACTTTCACGCGCGGTATCCATGACCGAAGCCAACCTCAATCCGTCACCGGCGACCTCCGCACGCCACGCGCCGCATTAGCTCCACACTGGAAGCTGACCTCGATACCGTTGCCGGTGACCTCTGCGCGTGACCTCTTTGCTCTTGTTTGCTCTTGGGATTCTTTGTCGTATGGGCTTTGCTTCCTGTACGGAACTTATTTAAAGAAATCATATGGGAAACATATCCTATGCACAAAAGCTTTCCGTGCACACTCCGTGCAAACCAACTAGCAAATGTCACATAAAATTCTAGATAAAATTGGACGCATACTTCCAATAGTATTACACCAACGTGTGAAATCTTATCTTCAAATTTATTATATTTTAGCCGTAACAAAAAAACAAAATTCTGACAGATTTTTACCCTAAAAACTGTCAGATTTTTCACTTTATTGTTACGACTAAAATATAATGAATTTGAATATGAGACTTTGCAGATATGTGTAATACTATTATGAGTATGTGTCCAATTTTTTCTAAAATTTTCTGTGACATCTGCTAGTTGGTGTGCATGGAGTGTATACGGAAGCTTGTGTGCATAGGATATGTTTCCAATCATGTGAGATCTGCCTTTTCTTTCTCTGTTCTTCGCTGATTCTTCTTTCTCTGTTCTTTGCATTTGTTAATGCTTGATTGCCTCGTTCCAACACGAAGAAAATGAAAAAAGAGATTAGAGTGGATGGATATTTTCAAATGTTTCTCCCATGGAAGCAAAAGTAAAGGAAATTTTTCCTGCGACCTTCTTATGATTGGTTTTTGTGATCCGAATGGTATTAAAAGGGAAAAACAATCCTATGAATAGTATTCCTCCAAAAATCCCGTGATAATCCACCAATCTAAACAAACCCTTAGAGATTTAAATTGCAGCACTCACGCCGATAATCGCCAATATTCCAAACCAAATTTTCAACCAAAAACCATTACATGGTTTCCAATTTTCTCACCAATTTTCCATCACAAATAAAACCAAAACACACTTGTTTTTTAAAAAAACTAAGTTTTAAAATTTAAATTTTGGTTTACATACATAATCATAAGTGAAAAGATGGTGCTAAATGTTTTTTTAGTTCATTTGATTTGCTCTTATTTTAGAGTTGATCGTTGAATGGTATGTACAGCACGTGACCCCGTTAATCTGTTCTTTAGAGCTGCCTAGTGCTGACGTGAGTAATGTACGTACATGCATTTACGTCATGCTTTTCAATTTTCCAACCATTTAGTTTCCTGTCATTTTCTCTCTACGCTTTATTCATTCTTTCAGTGGATGCTGTCATTCTCAACATACTTTTTTTGTTTTTAGTGGATGTCCTATTCCTTAGGGCATGTTCAACTATATTGAGCTTGACTCGATTCCTAAGTCATCCACATTACACAAGGAACCATTCCACAAATATAGCCATCATTTCCAAATTTACTTCGGTGTACCATCTTTTCATCATATATATTTTTTCATCGTATATTGTATCTAGAGTCCTTCATCGTGGCAGAGCAACATTTCATTTTTGAACCGCCTAGTTCGTCGATAGTTTTTCTTAGCTTACCTTGCGGTATTCTCCAGTTGTTCTAAAAGGGGTGTTTTTTACTCCGGATCCCTGTAACCTTTTTTTAACCTGAACTTTCTCACTTACTAAAAATTCCAGCAGAGCTCCTGCAATCGTTCGCTTAAAAAAAATTCATTGCATATATTGTACCTAGAGTCCTTCATCGTTTGTCTAGAGTCAATGATAAGGTAAGAATATATTCTTCTCTTCCTCGCCCTCAGGCAGAGATCTACATGGCAAATTAGCAATTCTGTGGGTTAACTCATTTATTGTTTAAGTTGCAATAACTGAAACTCAAAAACAAAAGAACAAAAATGATTGAAGGTATCAAGAGAAGAAGCCTCTCGCAGGACTACATATTCATCGCGTTGATAGATCTCATACGATGATCGGCGCAAAACGCTGGCTGTCAACTTTTGGTCGGCCTGGTGAAAAAGTTGAGAGAAATGCCGTGGGAGATTGTGTACACGTAATTAAGTTCAAACGCGACAAAATATGGTTCGCTAAGACTTGGGTCCGGGGTAGCAAAACACCTCGCAGCATTGCTACCTGGTTTCGGGCTTTCTTTTCCTTTTCTTATATATTTTTTCTACTCTATTAAATGAAATTGGCACCATCTAAATATCGATTCGTTAAAAAATATAATTTGGCCACCGGAACATCACAGGTAGAGCCGTAGAGGCAAGTTAATGAGCATTCGGCACCAAATTGGGTATGTAGCACATATAAATTCTCTCACGAACAAAGCAAACGATTTCATCATTAGACAAGAAAAAAATATGCAAACAAACAGCAGTACCATTAATTCTAACCAATCAACCACTAGCATTTTTCACACATACAGATTTTACCTCGATTTTCGTTAGCACGTTTTTCAAACTGCTAAACGGTACGTTTTGTGCGAAAACTTTCTATATAAAAAGTTGCTTTAAAATATCAAATAAATACATTTATCAAGTTTGTAATAATTAAAATTTAATTAATTATGTGCTAATAGCTTTTTTTTTTACGTGCGCCAATTTAACTTTCATCCGCTCAGTAGAGTAGAGGCAACGGATGCAATGGATCTATGCATTTTCAGGTGTTCAGTTATAGCGATGCAGTGATCCTGGCACTCGCATGTGAACTCGCCGAGTTTCCTATACACACAATTGTACATTAGCAAAGACAGTGTTCGATCGATCATTTAAACAACAAGGCGTTTCATGATGCCGAGCTTGCTCAAGACCTGACAAGACCCAGCTGGCAGGTGATATCACAATTCACAAACAAGAGAATATTAAAGTCTGGATATTCTCTTGCTCAACACGAAACAGCAACAGCTACGACCCCGAGTGAGCGCGTGATTAATTTGGATGGTTGGTACTCCTTGATTTGCTGATCCAATCGCCACAACAAGTGAACGATATTATACTCCTCCACTATAGCAACATGCAGCTATGGCCAGCAGTGATAAAACTGGAAAGTAAAATTCAAGTGGCCAGCAGTTTGAAGGTACATATTTGCATTTCGCCCGCAGTGACAGGCGCAAAAAGCGGAACAGGCCACGTTTGGAGTATTTCGTTCAGGCATATGGCCCAACAGGCCATTTCTTGTTTTTCAACACGTACGGACGGACTTACTGTATACATGTATTTTGACTCATCTCTTCCAAAGGTGTGTTCGAGGAGAAGGAAATCGAGGAGATTGGGAAGATACGCAAAACGAGGTAAGCTATTAGCTCATGATTAATTGAGTATTAACAATTTTAAATTTTAAAAATAGATTAATATGATTTTTTAAAGCAACATTCCTATAGATTTTTTTTTAAAAAAACGTACCATCGTGCGGAAAACGATACGTTTTCTCCCTCAAACTCACCCAAACGAACGCTGTCCAAGTCTCCAAAGCTATAGTATAGATCTAAGCGTTTCGGTCTTTAGCAGGACCGGGTTAGGATTCTAAGGTTAATTGTTTATTCAAAATATGAGGGGGTAATTAAAATAAACTTGTAGGCAGAAGCCTAATATAACATGTATATATCCCTGCAAAAAAAATATAACATGTATACATATACATATATATATATATATATATATATATTAAATTTGTTTGGTGCTCCATGGTGCCCGGGCTCCATGATTCAAATTGAGTATATACTCAATTCAAATGAGCATGAATTTTTTTTAAATGTTTAGGTATTAACATTAACTACTTTACTAACTAGTTCAAACAAGTTTGAACTGAATTTAAACATGTAATATGTTAGATTTTGATTCTAGGTATATAACATCCAAACATATAATTAGTTAGGTATGTAATATTGGATTATGAAATAAAGATAAATTTGAGTTGTTTTATTGCTAGGTATAGGTATGAATCGAATACTTATAACTAGATATATACTCACAATTTGAAAATTTTGAAAAATTTGGGCGAATTTGTGTATTTCATACCATGGTGCCTGGGCACCATGGAGCCCCATATGAGTGTCCTATATATATATATATATATATATATCACATACGTATTATGAGTTTAATATAACCTCTTGGATTGAATACAACCTTTGTTTTGGTACACATGCATCACATAGTATATCTATCTACCTATTATTTTTAAATACAAAATCTTGAGTATTTATCTAAATACCCTTGACTTAAGCTGGACCCACTCCCGGTCTTCAGTTTCCAGATTGCAAACAACGCGCAAATTAGCGGAAGACTATTTTCTTCACACCCAGGGGGGCGCATTCCCACATCACTCTTGATCCAATAGTGTCCTTAGGCGTTGTTTGATTGAGTGCAAAACTTTAATTTGTTACACTTGTGGTATACACATTTAACTAACTTAACCTAGCGTTTGTTGGTTCTACTACATTAATAATATGTCATATATTTTTTTGACAATCAGGACTGTCAATATTACGGATCAGGTATACCTCTTGTATTAGATATAATCCATCGACACCCACACCTAAATTGATCATTTTTTAGTCAAAATTTTCCACAAGTGTGGCATTGTCAAATTTGCTGATAGAATAAACAGAGTGGC